TTTTTTTTGGCGGTACCAGAGATCGAACTCAGGACCTTGCGCTTGCCAGGCAGGTGCTTATGCTGCTGAGCTATATCCCCAGCCCCTCAATAGCCAATTGTTTTGGGACCCCACCCCCACCCCAAGTGACAAAATCCATGCATGCTCGAGCTGCTGCTTATTTATTTAAGACTGGGACTTGCTGTGTAACCCAGGCTGGCCTTGAACTCATGGCAGCCCTCTTGCCTCAGCCTCTCAAGTGCTGGGATTGCAGGCGTGCACCAGCACCCTGGCCTCGAGGTTCTCACCTAAAGTACTGTGGTATTTGCACATAACCTCTGTACTCCTCACACCATCCCTGAACTGCTCTGCATACCTAGTGCAATAACAATGCCACATAAGTCGCTGTCACATACTATTTCTTAGGGCATGGTGACAAAAAAAAAAAAAAAAATCCATGCTCAGTACCGATGCATTTTTCCCTGAGGTTATTTCTGTGGATAGGAGACCTAAAGCTGGGGGGAGCAACTACCTTCATAATCTCCCTATCATGTTGGGTTATAATATAGGAGTTTCTAATTTATAGTCAAATGCATGCAGGGTGTCATCACAAAGGTAGAGGTAAGGCATTATCCTGAAGAAGGATGTAATGCAGTCTGAATTTTTCCTCCAGTACTGAAAATTGGACCCACGGAGCCCTGAGGGCAGTGCATGCCCAGCCCTTTTAAAAACTTTTTCTTTTTTTGGCCAGGCATGACGTCATACACCTGTGATCCTCAGGGGGCTGAGGCGGGAGGACTGCTGTGAGCTGGAGGCCATTCTGGGCTACTTAGTGAAACCTTGCCTCAAAAAGCCAAAAGGAAAAACATTTTTGAGACACAGTCTTGCTAAATATGGGCTCGCCTTGAACTCGCAGCTCCCACAACTCCACCCTCCTGTAGAGTTGAGCAGACACACACCCCCAAACTCAGCTGAGTAGGAATAAACTGGGGAAGGAAGAAAACAGCGGGGTGCAGGTAGGAGCACCTGGATAGGCATTCCAGGTGTGGGTACCACAGACACTAACGCTTCCAGGCCTCAACAGGGCCTGGCCAGACTGCAGGGAGCGGGGAAGGGAAGTGGGGCCAGCACCAGGAGGCCCAGGGCGGTGGTGATGGGGTGGGCAGCCGGAACCACCCGCAACCAGAGCCTCAAGGCTGAGAGGGGCAGGTTGGGGGCACATGAGAAGGGACCCCGGCCAGCTCCCCACTGCTCACCGGCAGGGGGTGATCTGAGTCACCCCTTGTTCAGACAGCTGCCCTCCCAGCATGGCCACAGGGCTGGTAACAGTCCCATGAAGCAGCTTTTATTAAGAGGACCATTTCCCTGGAGGGACACTGAAACCACCTCCCCCACCTCCAGGACACATAGGCCTCCTGGGACCTGAACTTGGGTCTCTCCTGCCTCTGGAGCCCGACTTCCCTCAGCAGGGGTTGAGCCCCCAAATCACTCTACCTCAGGGCTACATCTCCAACCCCGTTTTGATTTCGAGGCAGAGCCTCAATCAGTTGTCCAGGCAGGACTGGAATTTGCAATCCTCGTGCCTCAGCCCTCCCACTGCTGGGCTGAAGGTGCGTGTCGCTGTGCCTGCCTTAGTAGGCCCCGTGACCTTAAGCACTGTGCTGTGGCAGAGCTGCCCTGGGAGCCTGGAGAGGCCACTTGGCCTGAGAGGCCGTGGACCGGCTGCGACCACCTGCACTGCTGCAGCCGAGGCCGGGGTTGGGGCGGGGGCCACACGTGGGCCTGCAGGCTCTTAGTTCCCCTTGTGGGAGTTTCCAAAAACTCCCGAGGCACTTCAGCTGAACTGTGCAGTGTCCTTGCTAGCTCCTGGACTAGGAAAAAATCAAAGTCGCTATGGGTGACAGGGTGATACCGGCACACACCTGCACCCAGGATCCGAGCACACGCCCCTGACCGCAGCCTCAGGAAACCCCGCAGCTGCTCTGAGAAGGCGAAGAGCACGCTCAGTGATCTCAAAGGGGAATCCAAAGACAGAAGTTCAGTGTAGCTAGGCAGGCAGTCTGTCTCCAGGAGTTTTTGCATCCTTAGTTGCTATTTCTTATGATTTTTTTTTTTATAATCTTTATTTTATTTTCATTTTGTGTGTGTGTGGCCAGCTCAGCCCACCAGGGGGCGGGGCTGGCTGGCATGTGGTGCTGGGGGATTGAACTGCGGTCCCTGTGCTTTGCTTAGCTTAGCTTGTTCTAAGTAGGTGCTTTAGACCACTGAGCCATCTCACCAGCCCATGATTTTTTTTTATATATATATTTAGTACAGGGTCTCACTACGTAGATTCAACTCAGTGATTGTTTTTAGCCTCCCAAACTCTGCGATTACAGGCAGGCGCCACCACGCCCAGTCTCAATCACTGTCTCAGTTTGCCCCGGAGGCGGGGCTGGCACAGCACACAGGGGGTCGAACCCCGGGTCCTTCTACCAGCCTAAGCAGGCACTTTAGTCTGCTAAGCTATCTGGCTGGCCCTGCAATTTCTGTCCAAGTTTGAAATTGCCAACATAAAAAGTTAACCTAAAACTTTCTTTAAAATGCAAAAGAACCACAAGCCAGTGAGATAGCTCAGCAGACTAAAGTGCCTGCTTAGGCAAGCGTGGGCAAGCATAAGGACCGCGGTTGAATCCCGGGCACCACATGCCACGCCAGCCCCGCCCCCAGGGCGGGCTGAGCCGGCCACCAAAAAAAAAAAAAAAAAGGCAAAAAACTAGACAAGGTGGAACATGCCTTGTAGTCCCAGCACTCAGAAAGTGGAGGCAGGACTATTGCTTAGAGATAAGACCAGCCTCAGAAAAGCGAGAGGGGGCTGGGGAGATGGCACTTGCCTGGCAAGCACAAGGGTCTGAGTTCAATCCCTGGTTCCACCAAAAAAAAAAATAGCAAGAGAACCTCCTGGGTATAGTGGGTAATCCTTGCCTTCTAGAAGCTGAGGCAGGAAGATTACCTGGAGTTTGAGGCCAGTCTGGGCTAGTTAGGGCCTGTCTCAAAACAACAACAAAAAACAAGAGGATGGCGCAGTGTGAAAGCCAGGCTGCCACAGCTGAATCCCGGGCTCAGGGACTCTGGAATCTGAGTTCGCCCTGAGCATCAGGCAGGGGTGAGGCATTGTGGACAGCACTGGCAGTCCTGCTGGTACAGCAGTGCCCGACTGTAAACCCAGCACTCTGGGAGGCCGATGCAGGAGGATGGCAAGTTCAAACCCAGCCTGTGCAGCTTGTGACTTACTCCCATCTCAAAAATAAAAATGGGAGGGGCTGGGGAGATGGCTCACTGGAACAAGTGCTTACCTGGCAAGCACAGGGGCCTGAGTTCAATCCCTGGTTCCCCCCCAAAAAAAAAAATTAGGGGCTAGGGAGATGGCTCAGTGGAATAAGCACTTCCCTGGCAAGCTCAAAGGCCTGAGTTCAATCCCCCGTTCCAGAAAAAAAAAATAATAATAATAAATAAATAAATAGAAGTGGGCTGGGGATGTAGCTCAGTGCAAAGACCCAGGGGCCAACCTTCTCTCTGGCACAGGGCAGGAGGACTACGACCGCCTGCGACCCCTGTCCTACCAGAACACCCACCTCGTGCTCATCTGCTATGATGTCATGAACCCCACCAGCTATGAGAATGTCCTCATCAAGGTGAGGCCCGGCCTGCCTGGGGGCCAGGGTGAGGTGGGGCGCCCTACCCTGCCCCGCCCTGCCCATTCACTCTCCCTTCTCTTCTAGTGGTTCCCAGAAGTCACACATTTTTGCCGAGGGACCCCCATGGTGCTCATTGGCTGCAAGACTGATCTGCGGAAAGACAAGGAGCAGCTGCGGAAGCTCCGGGCAGCGCAGCTGGAGCCCATCACCTACAATCAGGTGGGCGGCCCCTCGCATACGTGTGTGTGCATGTGTGCATGCATGAGAGTCTGCCAGACTCTTATTTCTGCACCAGGGATGCCTTAGTGGCTTTGCCAGGAGTGACACAAGCAGAATTCTTGTTTGCTTGAAACAGGGTTTCCCTACATAGTTTACTGGCACTGAACTCACCGAGATCCTTCTGCCACAGCCTCCTGAGTGCTGAGATTTCAGCCATGCAAGCAGGATCCTAAGGATAATTTGCTTCTTTTTAAAAATAATATTAAAATATTGACAGCCAAAGGGTCTGAGCACTGAATACAGTACTTATGTCATCCTCATGCCTCAGAAGGATGAACTATCAACACTACCAGTTTATGGGGAAGAAACTGAGGCCCAGAAAGGTTAAGCAGCTTGCCCAGAGGACACAGCCCAGCAGAAGTGAATCTGCCCCACTCCCCAGCCTCCTTCCAGTCCTGTCTGCCTGGAGGGGCATCAGGGAAGGCCATTATTTGAAAGTAGGCAACTGGATATCGTGGTGCACCCCATCACTGAAGCACTTTGGGAGGCTGGGGCAGGAGGATACAAATGTGAGCTTAGCCTGGGCAACTTAGTGATGAGACAGGATCCTGTCTCAAAATGAAAAGTAAAAGGGGTTGGGCTGGGCTCCTGGGGTGGGGCAGCCCACATGCTTGGGCTGGGCTGACCACAGCTAAGTGATGGGAAAACTGCTAGGAAGTGTGAAGAGCCTGGGATCAATCCCCACCACTGGGGGAAAAAAAAGGAAGCAGGAGGTGTCCCATACCCTGGATAGTCAAAGGCAAGTCCAAGCCCTGGATCTTTGTGGGTAAGGCAAGGGGAATACATACAAGAGAAAACACAAACGCAGATCAATAAGGAAACTTTCATTAAAGGAATAAGCATAAATATGATGTGAAAGTGTTTTAGCCTGGCGTGGTGGCACGCATCTGTAATCCCAACACTCAGGAGGCCAAGGCAGGAGGATCACTGGGAATTGTCCTGGGCTACATAGTGAGTTCAAGGCCAGCCTGAACTACACAGAACCTGTCTCAAAAAGTATTTTTAAAGATATTTGAAATCCAGCAGTGATTCATGGGCCTAACCGGTGCAGTCAGACAGAGGCGCAGAGGTCCTCTGTGTCTTGGGACCTTCTGGTTCTACTGCCTGAGGGCAAGGTGGGGGCGCAGGGGCTCCCAGGGCCGCAGTGCAGCCTTCTCACTACTTGCTCCCCACAGGGCCTGAGCGCCTGCCAGCAGATCCGGGCTGCACTCTATCTCGAGTGCTCGGCCAAGTTCCGTGAAAACGTGGAGGACGTATTCCGGGAGGCCGCCAAAGTGGCACTCAGCGCACTCAAGAAAGCGCAGCGGCAGAAGCAGCGCCGGCTCTGCGTGCTGCTGTGACCCTGGTCTGGACACAGGGACCTACCTGGGACTTTTGTGAGGTCCCTTTAGTGAGCCGTCTTTGTCCCCAAGTCACCCCTGGGGGGTCCCCTGTGCACACCCAGCTCGTACTTGCATAGAGCTCAGAAGATGCCAGGTCCCTGGGCAGTGGTGACTCTGCACCGCCCTGCATGAGCATCCAGGCCCGCCTCCCTGGGCTCCTGAGATAGGCAGGCTGCATCCTCCTGCCTCTTCCTCCTCCCCCCGGGGAACTCGGGCCACCGTGGGGCCAGGGCCTATCGGGACACAACAGGCAGCAACCAGGATGTGGGGCAGGCACCAGCCTCCGTCTTCCTCTTCCATAGCACACAGAGGACCTTGGCCTCAGCAGGGCCACCGTGGGTGCAGAGCTGCACACGTGTGCCCAGGAGGATGAGGACAAGCTCAAAGTGCCAATCGCCTGCCCCCGGGACAGGATGGGCAGCCTGCTCTCCGCATAGACCGAGTCCCATCCAAGCCAGCAGCTGGCCCTCTAAATGACTCCACTTCCCCGCGTCTGATGCCAGCCTCTAGCAGGGTGTGAGTGCATGGACGGTGTCTCTGGGTTAGCCCCAGACCAAGACAGCCAGCATCCCAAGAGCCACATGCCAAGCCCCGAAGCTCTAGGGTCGGGGTCTGGGCTGCTCTGACACCCTCAGCTGAGAGCTGCTTGTTCTGGAGCAGCTAGTACCCAGCGCTGCTGAAGGAGCCACAGCCAGGACCAGCAGCCTCCTGCCTCAGCCTTCCTGTCAGCCAGATCAAGTCCAGCTGCGGGGAAGGGGTCCCAGGCATCCTGTTCTCCTAGAACCCAGCACCTCACACACAAGTGACCGTGTGGGCAGAGGCCAGTGGACTACAGCTTGGAGGCCCCACCTGGCCACTACCTATTTTTGTAAATAAAGTTATTGGCACATGGCCACACCCACTGTGCCTGCGCTGGTGACTCCACGGTGGAAGCACACTAGTAGCCACAGAGACTCGTAGTCCAGAGAGAAGCCTAAAATATTTACCACGTGGCTTTGACATTAGAGTCACTGACCGAAACCCTGGGGCAGACCCAGGGGCCTGCAAACGGCCAGGTGGGAGGAGTCTGCAGGTGGGGAGGGCACTGGCGGCCCTGCAGGACTGCAGCAGCATCTGGCCCTTTTCCTCCCTCTTCAGACCTGGGGACTGCGCCAGAGCCTGGGCGTGGCCCAGTGACACCTCCAGCCCATGTCTCCCCACCCCTCATTTTGAGGCAGTCTCACCAAGTTGCTACGCTGTTCTTGCTAGGAGGCTCAAACTTGCAACCCTCCTGCCTCAGCCTCCCAGAGTGCTAGATTACAGGTATATACCACCATGGCTGGCCAGATCTTTTTCCAGAGAAAGTAAAACTGGATTTTTTTATGTGAAATCTCTGGGGGAATCACTTTTCAAATATAATTTAAAGAACTTGAAACCCTTACTAACCAAAACCATGGCCCTCGTCAGGGAAGGCTAGTCATGGTGGCTCGGTAGGGAAATCACTCAAGGCAGCTGAGGCCCCTAGCTGCCCCTCCGCCTGCCCACTAGGCCGAGAACCTGGAGGAGGGGGCGGACTCTAGCGTACTAATAGCGAGTCTGAGGCCAAGGCTGGGAGGCGGTGAGGTCAGATCCTGTCTCCGAATAAATAAAATGCTGAGCGTAGTGGCACATGCCTGTAATCCCAGCACTCCGGAGGCTGAGGCAGGAGGATCATTCAGAGTTCGAGACCAGCCTGGGCTACAAAGTGGGGAGCTCAAGGCCAGGCTGAACCGCATGGTGAGACCCTGTCTAAAAAAGACAAAGTAAGTAAAACAGCCTGGGGAGGTAGCTCAGTATAAAAGCGCTACGTGCGGTCCCCTGTAACCCTAAATTAAAAACTAGGGAGAGAGGTGAGCTGAAGGCTGGGTGCTTGCAGAACCCCAAGAGTCGACCCGGACTTTGAGCGACCTTCGAGCCGCAGCCACTGAACTCACAGCCTGGGCCGCCTCCTGGTGGCGGTCTCTTAAAACCTCCCATCCCAGGCCCCTCTGTACGGGGCACATTCTCCCCATCCCAGGGCGCCAGGTCACCACGGGAGACTCGGGAAGCACAAAGGGCACAGGCAGAGACAGACGGTGGTTCTCTGAGAACATAAATAACCCCACCCGGGGCAGGGGCCGCGCGGGGCTCGGCAGAGGCAGCGTGGCCTGGGGTGCCGGAGGGGTCACAGGACAGCAGAAATCCAACCCCAAGAGGCACATCTGAACCCCACTGTGAGGGGTTTAAGGGACAGGAGGGACAGGGGCTCCCTGAAGCTTGGGCCCCTCTCTTGGAAGACAGACACGGCTCGGCCTCCCCTGAGAGCAGCCGCGGGGACCCGGGGACCTGGTATTAAATACGACATAAATAAGAGCTAATACTGCAAGGCGCGGCACCGTCACCTTCCGTGTCGGGTGGGACATTCTCCAGCACTGTGCTGGCCCTGAGATGCTGCCGCCCGGCCCCTGGAAGCCCAGGACCTCTGAGCTCAGGTCGGGGTGCAAGAGTCCGAGGCTCATGGCCTCTCAGTCCCGCTCCTGCCGGGAGCTCCAGCAGCCGCTCAGATCTTGCTACGGCTTCTTGGTTTTGTTTCTGTTCTGCTGGAGTTTGGTGTGCACAACCTTGAGTGTGGTCAGGAAGTTGCCCAGGAAGAGGACGAGGAAGGTGAGCGCCAGCACGAACACCTAGAGGAGCCAGCGGCACCCACGAGAAGCTCTGGTCAGGGCCCCTGGGGCAGCAGCCCCTTCCACCCCTACCCCAGCAGGAGCAGGCCACAGCTCTGGGAGCCCCCCCGGGTGGGAAAGGGTTCCTGCGCCCTGACATGCCTTCCACCACCCCCAGGGCCCAGCAGCAGCAGGGCCCCAAGGCCAAGAAGAGGAGGCGACCAAGGACAGAATTCTCCCCACGATGGCCCAGCCCTTCGCAGGCAGACACAGCCACGCAGGCAGGCACCCTACCTGCCACTCTCTGCACTCCTCGTGGGTGGAGAGCTCGAACAACGTGACGGCGTTGTACAGCTGCCAGAACTAGAGAGAGACGGGACAAGCGCACTCACCACCGCTTCCCGGGGAGCCTGTGGGAGCCAGGGCGGTAGAGCACTCTCCTCCCCACAGCTGCCCAAGACGCCACCCTGTAAAACTGCAGCTCCCAGACAAAGCTGGGGGAGCTGGGGGACTCAGGACTCAAGAATCACCGAGAGCCAGGGGCCTAGGCCTTGCTGGGGACCTCTGTGCCAGCCCCAACTAGGGACACGTGCACCAGGGGGACTCACATGGCCACAGAAGAGGAATGGCAGCAGGAAGGTGAGGCCCCGCCACATCCAGGACTGGAACCCTTCTGTGAGGAGAAGAGAGAGTGAGGGGCTCCCCGAGGTTGTTAGCCAGGCAGAACTATACCCCAAGTCCCCTTAATCTCTCTCTCTCTCTCTCTCTTTTTTTTAATATGTATTTAGTACAGGGTCTATAGGGTCTCACTCAGTAGATCAGACTCATGGTGATCCTCGTTTTCAGCCTCCAACTGCCGGGATTACAGGTGCGAGCCACCACACCCGGTCTCAACTCCCTATCTCAGTGCACCCCGGGGCGGAGCTGGCACAGCAGCTTTAACCCACTGAGCTATCCGCCCCCCCATCTCTTAAGAGACAGGATCTTGCTAAATTGCCCAGAATGGACTCAAAACTTGTGATCCTCCTGCCTCAGCCTCCCTAAGTGCTGAGATTAAAAAATATGTCACCACACTCAGCACAAATTTCTTTATGACATTGATATGTTTCTCAATAAAATAACATAAAAAATTTATTTATGTCTATGCATACTTAGATGCAGACGTGTTGTACAACCAGCAATGGGCTAACATTACATCATAAAACAAGCCATGTGTGGTGGGTGGTACACATCTGTAATCCCAGCTGAGAGGCTGAAGCAGGAGGATCACAGGGTCCAGGTCAGCCTGGGTGACTTCGTGACTTAAGTCTCAAAATTTAAAAAAAAAAAAAAAAAAAAAAAATTGGCTGGGGAGCTAGCTCAGCAGCATAAACATCTGCCTGGCAAACGCAAGGTCCTGTGTTCAATCCCTAATACCAAAAAATGAAATAAAAAGGACTGAGGATGCACCTTGGTAGTAGAGCACTTGCATAGCATGCAGGAAGCCCTGGATTCAATCCCAAATACCAACGAAACAAACAAAATAAAAACCACAGACAAAAGAGACATGTTTGTTTTGTTTTGAGACAGGGTCTTGGCTATGCAGTTCAGGCTGGCCTTGTGCTCACTTTTGTAGCCCCCAGGCTGATCTCAAACTCACAGAGATCCTCCTGTCTCAGCCTCCCCAGCACTGGGATTACAGGCGTGCACCACCAGGCCTGGTTTCGAGGCTGGCACAACATGCCTGGGGATCCGGGGCCAACATGGCATGTGGGGCTGGGGATCAAACTCAGGACCTTGCACTTGCCAGGTAGGTGCTTATGCCTCTGAGCTATTTCCCCAGCCCCGGAATAGGTATATTAAAAGGGGACACAGCAGGACCCCAGCACCAAGGACCCAGCATTCCACTGGCCTCCCATAGCAACTGACGTGGAGCGCACTCTGAGTTCTTTGGAGCAGCGCCGCAATGTATGCAAAGCAGGCCAGGGCTCGACCTCACGTGATACTCAGTACTCACCAACCGTGAGGTCCAGGTGGTTCCTCTCGCCCAGAGCCCGCAACCGGTAGAGGCAGCCCCGCTGGTAGTAGTACTGCAAGAACTGCACGCAGCCTGCAAGGGGCACACGAGGGGATCAGGCTGACACTGGACCAGGACAGGGGGCCCTTGTTCTCTAGACCCAAGGCTGGCAGCTGACCAGGGCTGCTGGCACATGGCCGGTTCCAGCCCATGAGGTCACCTTCTCTGGTGCCCCTCCCTCAACTGGAACCAGTTGATCCCTTCTTTATCCAGAACCCAAGAGCGCCCAGGTGTGCAAGCAGCTGAGACCCAGCCAGGCTCCAAAGGACTGGCATTTCCTGGGCGCGCAGCAGTGCCACTGGAAGCCGCGAAACCCAAGCGGGGCCTGCACGCAATGCGAGGATACGTGAGGGCCGGCTCCCTGCAACGTGGCCCTGTGGAGTCGCTAAAAAGTGAGGCCGTGCTGACACAGCCCCGAACTGTCTTAATCCAAATGTATACGCGCATTTATGAAAAGAAATAGCTGAAAGGAGTAGATCATAACCATGATCACTTCTAAGACAGGGATGAGATACAGTTTCCCTTCTGGGTTTTCCAAATGTGTATTTGCGAGCAGGTTCTGATGTAGAAATTGAGTTTTTGCTGTAGTTTCTGGGGGGCAGGGTCTCACTGCGCAGTTCAGGCTGGTCTTGCACTCACTATACAGCCCAGGCTGACCTGGAACTCAGGGAAATGGCAGGCACAAACAACAGCAGAGTTTTATTAGAAGACAATGAGGGCCGGGGAGATGGCTCAGTAGAATAAGCACTTGCCTGGCAAGCGCAAGGGCCTGAGTTCAATCCCTGGTTCCGCAAAAAAAAAAAAAAAAAGACATTGCCAGTATCACTGTGGGTGAAAGTTCAACATGCACCCTCACGTGATCCTCTTGCCTCGGCCTCCTGAGCACTGGAGTGGTGTGCGCTATAGTCTCAGCTCTTCAGGAGGCTGAGGTACGAGGGGGGCTCGAGCCCACACTCAGAGGCCGGCCTGGGCGGCATAACAAGAGCCCCATCTCCAGGGAAAAAAACACATTTTGGGTCAGGGATGCATGCAGCGGGACAGCACAGGCAGCGTGCACGTGCACCAAGGCCCTGGGCTCCAGCCCCAGCAGCGCATGCATGCACACACCACACACAGAGCAGGAGGCCGACCCTGAGCCAGACCACTGTGCAGCACTTCCAGAGCTATTCTCAAGCAGAAAGAGCTAATTCTTATCTCCATTTGGAGGATTTATTCGAAACCAGGAGACATAGTCAGTGCCCCTGCAGTACCCGGCTCCCAGACGCTGCTCTTGCCCCCTCCAGGCAGTGCTGGACACCGGAGGATCAGGTGACCCGGGTATGACAGCTCTTTTCCACATTTCTGGTTGGTACCAGTGCCAACCTGGGAGCCCTGTGATGAAAGCCCCAGGAAATCAGCCCCCCATCCCAAAATTAGGCTCAGGTACTCACTCTGGAAAATTGAAAATGCTAAAAACTGATCGCGAAACTTCTGATAAATGAGTCCATTAGGCCTGGAAGGAAAAACGATGAGGTCAAGATGCTCTGCAAACGGACATTCACCTCCCAACTCTGCTCCAGCCAAGAGAGAAAGGGAACCTGAGGTCCCTGGTGTGAGCCCTTGTCTCAGGCCTGGTCCCAGTCTAGGGACGGAATCATTCAGAAGCCTGCTCCCTCCAGCAGCAGCACCCCACCCCCACCCCCACCCCCC